GTCAGGGTAGCTTTGCTAATCACTATGGAGCACAGCACAGCTAGGTAGGCCAAGGTGGAGGACCATCCACTCTCCTCCTCCCTCTTCTGCAATGGAATGAATGATCAAATATGAATACAGAGATTAGCTGTAAAACTGGAGTTTTACCAGCGAAGCTAGAAGCTAGCTAAACTTCTCCCTGGACCAACAAAGATAGCTAGCTAGCCAGGTAGCTACTGGTAACTATTAGTAACTGTGGCTAATAATAATAATAATTTATTTTTACGTACAAAAACTTTTTTTTATTGAATATTAAAAACATACAATATACCTACTGTGGATAATTGTTTCCATTGTTGTTTCAAGCATAAGAGTACCTGTAACTATGCTAGCTAGCTACAATTCAGCTGTATTTCTGATAACCTCATTATCTGAAGAGTAAAGGTTGGGTAGTTAGTAGCTATCTAGCTACTGTACTCGAAATGTAGCTAGCTTGTTATCTACCTGGCTAGCTAACTAAACAACATCTGGAACGACCTAGCTGTAATGTTTACAAGTATCCCCACTAGCTGACTACTAGACAACCAATAGAACAGTTGGCCCTAAAGCTTTTTGTAGGGAGCCAAGGAAAACAACTATTGCCTGTATCAGTGAAGGACACTAGCTAGAATGTGGACCAATACATTTATAGAAATATATCTAGCTACCATTAGAATAGCCCAACGTTTTGCACATTGTTTTGATGAGCTGGTTAAAATAAGGCTGTCACTTGATCAAATCATAAATCATACACTGTACCAAATGCATTGCCTATCAATAAACATCTGACAATGAATATGTATCTGATAGAGGAATTATGATTATGACTAAAATTGTTAACCCCAATACTGATGATGACTGTGTGAACTGTGTTAGGGTTATCATTATAAATCCACTAACAGAGGGGGTGAGTTAGAAACTGCTGAGACAAACATTCCAGGCTGAAGGGGACTGAGAAACTGGTTAAAGGCCTCCTAAAGGTGGGCGGAGCAAAGTGCCTTTGTGTGTCAAGGTGTATAAAAGCTGTATATGTGTTTTTTGGCGGCAGAGCTCTCCATGATTAAACATACAGATCATTCTTGCCGGTTGTGGACCTTTGTTTAATTCATTATTAAACCAGAGCCTTACACCCTCTGGGAATTATTCAGAGCATTAAGTTTGATTAATTAGAGATAGAAATTCTCGTGACAGTATCATGTAATTCTACTTAGTATTATCAAACTTAATCCAGATATTACACTGTTGATGTGTATGGAGTGCAAAATTACTAGTTAACTTCTATTCTCCAAACAATAACACCAGTGTTCCTGTAACAGAATGTGTATACTGTAACCTACAGTACCAGTCAAAAATTTGGACACACCTACTCATTCAAGGTTATTGTTGTATATATTTTCTTCATTGTAAATAATAGTGAAGACATCAAAACTATGAAATAACACATATGGAATCATGTAGTAACCAAAAAAGTGTTAAACAATTCAAAATATATTTTATATTTGAGATTCTTCAAATAGCCACCCTTTGCCTTGATGACAGCTTTGCACACTCTTGGCATTCTCTCAACCAGCTTCACCTGGAATGCTTTTCTAACAGTCTTGAAGGAGTTCCCACATATGCTGAGCACTTGTTGGCTGCTTTTCCTTCACTCTGCGGTCCGACTCATCCCAAACCATCTCAATTGGGTTGAGCTCAGGGGATTGTGGAGGCCAGGTCATCTGATGCAGCATTCCATCACTCTCCTTCTTGGTAAAATAGCCTTTACACAGCCTGGAGGTGTGTTGAGTCATTGTCCTGTTGAAAAACAAATGATAGTCCCACTAAGCCCAAACCAGATGGGATGGTGTATCGCTGCTGAATGCTGTGGTAGTCATGCTGGTTAAGTGTGCCTTGAATTCTAAATAGTAAAAATAAAGAAAAACCCTTGAATGAGTAGGTGTGTCCAAACTTTTGATTGGTACTGTAGGTTATAGCCAAGAGAGGAGGAAGTGGTGGCTTGTTAGAGCACAGACATGGTTCTCATTTCAGTGGTGCTCATGAGGACCCCCATAACAATTGAAATGTCAAGGTGGCCCCCCTAAAACATATTGTAACATTGGGAACCCTCGGTAGCCAATGTGTGATAGGACATGAACGCAGGAGTAGTCTATAATGAACATGTGGGCTTTCTGTACATTGTAATAATTTATTTTCAATTCCATTGTTTGCTCAGCTTGTAATTGTAGTTGGTTATGTAAACATGATCAGAACAGGCATTGAATGATAAACAGAACAAAACATGGACCCATTCTGTGATATACTGTATATTTAAAAAGAAAATCATCCACATCCTCACTTTATATGTCAATATTACAATATTGCTGCTAGCTCAGCCTCTGTCCTTGGTCTGCATCACACAGCCCAGCAGTCCTCAATCCTATAAGACACATGAAACACATAGGTAGGTTGTTGAATTTTCATTATATCTGTCATGGATCCGGTCCATACATTACCCTTTTGATGTTTTTAGTTTATCCCAGAGAACTGAGAATCAGGCAGGGACTCTCTCAATCTCTCACTCTGTATACAGTCAAGACAGTGCTGTCGGGAGCCTACCCACGATTGTCTAGCCTTGTTGTAGTGAGCCTGCACATGTACATGTTTTATAGCTGGTTCCAAATTAACTAAAGCGTCCCTCGCAAGACACGTATAGTCAGACATAAATGTACATCTGGGCATCGTCTTTCAGCTGTAAAAAGTGGATTTCTCGCTGGTGTGGGCGTTTTAAAATTAGGTGAAATAAAACTTTAAAGTTACACTATCCAAAAGAGACTCATTTCGTGGAAAGACCCAGTAGATGAGGTGAGTTACCCCCATAGAATATAGGACGCTCTGAGCTCAAGTGAAAAGCATTTTATTGATGATGAAGTCCATTGTAATGTAGTGTTATGTAGTTACAGTGGAGAAAAAAGGTATTTAGTCAGCCACCAATTGTGCAAGTTCTCCCACTTAAAAAGATGAGAGAGGCCTGTAATTTTCAACATAGGTACACGTCAACTATGACAGACAAAATTAGAAAAAAAAATCCAGAAAATCACATTGTAGGATTTTTTATGAATTTATTTGCAAATTATGGTGGAAAATAAGTATTTGGTCAATAACAAAAGTTTCTCAATACTTTGTTATATACCCTTTGTTGGAAATGACACAGGTCAAACCTTTTCTGTAAGTCTTCACAAGGTTTTCACACACTGTTGCTGGTATTTTGGCCCATTCCTCCATGCAGATCTCCTCTAGAGCAGTGATGTTTTGGGGCTGTCGCTGGGCAACACGGACTTTCAACTCCCTCCAAAGATTTTCTATGGGGTTGAGATCTGGAGACTGGCTAGGCCACTCCAGGACCTTGAAATGCTTCTTACGAAGCCACTCCTTCGTTGCCCGGGCGGTGTGTTTGGGATCATTGTCATGCTGAAAGACCCAGCCACGTTTAATCTTCAATGCCCTTGCTGATGGAAGGAGGTTTTCACTCAAAATCTCACGATACATGGCCCCATTCATTCTTTCCTTTACACGGATCAGTCGTCCTGGTCCCTTTGCAGAAAAACAGCCCCAAAGCATGATGTTTCCACCCCCATGCTTCACAGTAGGTATGGTGTTCTTTGGATGCTACTCAGCATTCTTTGTCCTCCAAACACGACGAGTTGAGTTTTTACCAAAAAGTTCTATTTTGGTTTCATCTGACCATATGACATTCTCCCAATCCTCTTCTGGATCATCCAAATGCACTCTAGCAAACTTCAGACGGGCCTGGACATGTACTGGCTTAAGCAGAGGGACACGTCTGGCACTGCAGGATTTGAGTCCCTGGCGGCATAGTGTGTTACTGATGGTTGGCTTTGTTACTTTGGTCCCAGCTCTCTGCAGGTCATTCACTAGGTCCCCCCGTGTGGTTCTGGGATTTTTGCTCACCGTTCTTGTGATCATTTTGACCCCACGGGGTGAGATCTTGCGTGGAGCCCCAGATCGAGGGAGATTATCAGTGGTCTTGTATGTCTTCCATTTCCTAATAATTGCTCCCACAGTTGATTTCTTCAAACCAAGCTGCTTACCTATTGCAGATTCAGTCTTCCCAGCCTGGTGCAGGTCTACAATTTTGTTTCTGGTGTCCTTTGACAGCTCTTTGGTCTTGGCCATAGTGGAGTTTGGAGTGTGACTGTTTGAGGTTGTGGACAGGTGTCTTTTATACTGATAACAAGTTCAAACAGGTGCCATTAATACAGGTAACGAGTGGAGGACAGAGGAGCCTCTTAAAGAAGAAGTTACAGGTCTGTGAGAGCCAGAAATCTTGCTTGTTTGTAGGTGACCAAATACTTATTTTCCACCATAATTTGCAAATAAATTCATTACAAATCCTACAATGTGATTTTCTGGATTTTTTTTCCTCAATTTGTCTGTCATAGTTGACGTGTACCTATGATGAAAATTACAGGCCTCTCTCATCTTTTTAAGTGGGAGAACTTGCACAATTGGTGGCTGACTAAATACTTTTTTTCCCCACTGTATGTACAGGTAACTGCCAAAATAAAGGAAACACTTGAGTAAATGAGGGATACAAAGTATATTGAAAGCAGGTGCTTCCACACAGGTGTGGTTCCTGAGTTAATTAAGTAATAAACATCCCATCATGCTTAGGGCCATGTATAAAAATGCCCAGATCTCAACCCAATTAAACACTTATGTGAGACAGTGCTTTCCACCAATAAAACACAAAATTATGGAATTTCTCAGGGAAGAATGGTGTCGCATCCCTCCAACAAGAGATCCAGACAATTTTAGAATCTATGCCAAGGGGCATTGAAGCTGTTCTGGTAGCTCTTGGTGGCCCAACGCCCTATTAATAAACTTTATGTTGGTGTTTCCTTTATTTTGGCAGTTACCTGCATGTAGTGTATGTAGTGTATGTAGTGTTACATAGTGTTATGTACTGTTATGTAGTGTTACCTCCAGGCCTGTTCCTTCATCTCTGACAGTGGGCATTGCTCGGGTAGATCTCTGTTGATTTCCCTCAACTCTCTCTCCACCACCTTCGCTGTTATTTCATCACACGACTTACTTAGCGACTCACGTTGGCCGAGGTTGGGCGGTATCTCTACACTGTTCAGGACGACCTCGGAACATGAACGAGGCTTCTTATGGGAGTCACACGTCCGACAGATAGACTGGTCCTTCTCAATGTTCTCATCTGAAAGGACAACAAATAATCAAAATGAATAATCAACTGTGTGTGTTTCTGTGTGTGTGTGTGCGTGTGCGTGCATGCTCCCCACCATGGGCTTCTTCTCCCGGCCTACCCGATGGAACACCATCCCTACTCTGGAAGCTGCTGAGCGATCTAGAGAGTAGATAGAACAAGTATGTCGCAAGGTTGATCTCAGTAAAGGAGGAGAACATGCTCAACTCAAAATCTTCTTGTGTAGACATGTAAAAAGGGTCCTGGGAACCAAAATAGATCCATTTTGCAAGACTTTAGCTAAAGATTTGACATGTTGACTCCAGCAGCAGACATGAGCCGTTCTAAAACTAGACCATTCAGATCAAGCAAACTACGTTTTAAAACTGCATAAAACCGTCTTGTCTCATCTTATATATCTGAACTGGGTGTTCATTTCCAAAGCTTCTGTTTCTGCAAATAATAATACATTCGACCACTGTTCAACCACTGTTCAATTGCCTACTTTTAGGTACTCGGTCTTGGCCTGCTTGGGCAGCATCTGGGCGTTGTTAGCGTGGAACTGTGGCAACTCCTCCTTTAGAGTGGGCAGAGACATCTTCTCCAGCGTTCTCTTAGACACATACTGCTCCGGCTGGTAGTAGTTCCTACCATACAACTGAACAGAGAAACAGGCCTGTCAATGACATATACTGCCACTAAAGTAGTAGTCTTTACCATACAGATATAACAGGATTGCATTCAATAGGTACCAAACTGAAGAAAACTAACTGAAACAGGGAGGGACTACCTTGACTTAATTTTAGTTTCTGTTTCAAAATGTTTTGGTACGGTGTGCTATACTGAACACGATCCAGGTCTGTCAATAAGATATACTGCCATTAATGTAGTACTGGACAGATATAACAGGTCTATCAATGATATATACTACTTCCTCATAAACATACTGCTTTGGCTGGAAGAATGATTATGAGCCATACAATCTCTCAGGATTTTATGGAGAACCTAATCTATTATGTAGATCATTAAAGAAAATATTTTGGGGAAAAAACGCTGAAGGAAAATTGTGTTTCTGAGACAGTGATTCATTCCGTTTATCTCAGACATGTAGTCCCCAAACTCTGCCTGTAGAGCAAGAGCCGCCAGGAACATGCCCGTCTCCTCGTTGCAGTACAACGGGTCCTCTAGGATATCCTGCTGCAGCTGCAAGTAGTACTGGTGACGCGTCAGCCTGTGTCTGGAACACCCAATGTACAGTTCTTTAAAGACACAGCTAATAACTGCATTTCACTAACAGTTCATGATACCAAAACTCCAGATACTTTTCAGTAAAATGAAAGATATAAAATAATGATCAGACTCACAATATGAAAGAGATGTCGTCAACGGAAAATCTGACCCGAAGAAAAACAAGAAAAGAAGTCGACAGTACTTTTTTCCAACTGTCAGGAGCAATTTTGGAGATTTTAATCTCGTGGTCCAGGAAAAAATATTCATCATCTAAAAGAAAGAAAAGATATGACATAGTATATGTAGCATGACTATAAATCAATAAATCAACTACAGTATATGTTTATGAGACACATAAGATGGGTTGTTGTCAGTTTCTTACCATCGATGAAGGCCAGTCCGAAGTAAAAGTGCTCTACCAGGTTAGCGTGAGCCACCACCATGTCGAACACGTCCCTCCCTCTGGACTTTATGTCACTCTTGACCAATACAGACTGACCACTGGGCAACACCACACTGACCTCTCTCTGGGACGAACAAGACCTGCCCTTTTTAGACTGGGGGGAAGAAGAGGGATGAGGTGGAGGGGGAGAGCGGCAGAGAGGGGGAGAGAGAGATAGAGAGAGGATAATCAATCTTTAGTCAACAAAACATACACTCAAAATCCCAAAACATAAATCTTCCAGAAAACGTCTAGAAATAAAAGTTCATGTTTTTACCACTATGGATCCGGGCAGCTCCAGAACTACACAGGGTTCGTCAGCCATCCTGATAAACTCAGGACCCAGAGCCTGAAAAAACACAACACGATGTAAACACAGCAATGCGGATACACAATCACATCATGCTAAGATCGTTACACATGGAAACAATTCATACACCACAATACACACACAGGATGCATCAGTCCTGGCTATGACCATCACCATGCTCCAGCAGCACTGCAGTCTCAAGTCAGGACTGATAAACCAGAACTGGGTCGGAGGTGACAGCTACCTCGATCTCAATGGGGGCAGTGACGTCACAGGCTACGCTGACTACACCCAGCTTACTGTATCTTCGTTTCATCCCCATACACACTCTGCTGTATGTACACATCCTAGTTTTCAAAGACAAATTATTTTCCCTGTAAAGAACCTTGAATGTTCATTGAGTAACATAAAAATCAAATATTTGCTTTAGTGTAAGAGACTGGGATTGTAGCTTAAACTGTGAAGGAGCTGTATGTCTCAGAGGACAAACTATGAGAATAATAAGAAGTATGGAATCTATAGAATGTATGATTCAGTCATGCATTCTGTTGTATATTATTTGTGTATTATCAGCCCACAGCTCAGCAGATAACTCGTCTCAGAAGAACATCAACCCACATCACAGGGTGCCATAGTTCAGGGATCATCAACTAGATTCAGCAGCGGGCCGATTTGTTCTCGAGTGGATGGTCAGGGGGCCGGAACATAATTACAAATAAATTGTAGACTGCAAATTGTCCGCAAGAAGCCCAAACAGATAGAAACCCAGGAGTTCTCCCACCCCTGCATACACACCTAACATAGACAGGTATACATACCTGGACATGCCTAACAAAGCAGATGAACACACACACACACACACCTGTGGGACGGACCTGTGTGTGACCTCAGGCAATTAACAACCAGTAAGACTCTGGGAAAGACGCACTCCCACATCCATTACTGTGTCCTATACGATAATGGACATAAATAAATAATTGTATGTTGACTACAATCAACTTGATAATGAGCAACACATTTTTTTTATTTTCTTTAATTTTATTTCACCTTTATTTAACCAGGTAAGCCAGTTGAGAACAAGTTCTCATTTACAACTGCGACCTGGTCAAGATAAAGCAAAGCAGTGCGATAAAAAACAACACAGAGTTACATATGGGGTAAAACAAAATATAAAGTCAAAAATACCACAGAAAATATATATACAGTGTGTACAAATGTAGCAAGTTATGGAGGTAAGACAATAAATAGGCCATAGTGCAAAATAATTACAATTAGTATTAACACTAGAATGATAGATGTGCAAGAGATGATGTGCAAATAGAGATACTGGGGTGCAAATGAGCAAAATAAATAACAATATGGGGATGAGGTAGTTGAGTGGGCTAATTTCAGAAGGGCTGTGTACAGGTGCAATGATCGGTAAGGTGCTCTGACAACTGATGCTTAAAGTTAGTGAGGGAGATAAGAGTCTTTGACTCTGAGCAACAGTGACACTGTCTGAGTGTCTGTCACTCATCTCCCCTTTCCCCTTCTGCATGTTTTCCTTGTTTCTCTCTCTCTCTCTCTCTCTCTCTCTCTCTCTCTCTCTCTCTCTCTCTCTCTCTCTCTCTCTCTCTCTCCCTCTCTCCCTCTCTCCCTCTCTCTGACTCCCTCTCTTTGAAACTTTCTCTCTCTGACTCTCTTTCTCCACTGTCCCTTCAGACTGCCACGAGGCAGTAGCTGGCTGTGCCAGAGCCCCTACATTGGCACCCCCTCAAAGGGCACAGAGAGAGGGAGAGAGAGAGAGAGAGAGAGAGAGAGAGAGAGAGAGAGAGAGAGAGAGAGAGAGAGAGAGAGAGAGAGAGAGAGAGAAACAAGGAAAACATGCAGAAGGGGAGATGAGTGACAGACACTCAGACAGTGTCACTGTTGCTCAGAGTCAAAGACTCTTATCTCCCTCACTAACTTTAAGCATCAGTTGTCAGAGCACCTTACCGATCATTGCACCTGTACACAGCCCTTCTGAAATTAGCCCACTCAACTACCTCATCCCCATATTGTCTGTCTGTCCATCCATCACTCCGTCCATCTGTCCGTCTGTCCATACATCCATCTGTCCGTCCGTCTATGATCTATCTATGGCAGGGTTCCCCAACTGGCGGCCAGCGGGCTGAATTTGACCCGCGGGGGATTATTTTATTTGGCCCCCCAAGTTTATTTATTTATTTTACATTAAAGATTGTAAAAACCACAGCAAATCAGCTTTAACTTTTCTTCATTTTGGATATCTGTTCCAAAGTATTCCCAAGCATAATAAAGAGATATGTGATCGTATACATATGTAAGCAAGTTTTGACATGATCATGTTTTAGTCAAATATTGGTCTCGCTTTAAATGATGTGCTGCTTATAATGGCTTCATAAAGCCTCCATAAAGCCTTCATAAACACTACATAAATGTGTTACAAATCATCTATAACTGTATGTCATGCTTTATAAAGAGTTCATAAATGTGGCATAAATGTGTGACATAACCACCAATGTCAAATATGACATAAACCTGTACTTTATAAAGGGTGGCATAAGCACCACTTAATAAAGCTTATAAATCATATTAAATTGAGGCTTCACAAAACATTTATAACCCTGTCATGCATCTTGCTAGAGCATTGCAATGCCAGAATATTGGGTTCGATTCCCGGGACCACCCATACGTAAAAATGTATTCACGCATGACTGTAAGTCGCTTTGGATAAAAGCGTCTGTTAAATTGTATATATTATATTTCACAAAAACATTTCTAGGATGGCCCAATCGCTTTCCCTCTTTGGTGCATAGTCAGTATTGGACCTGACCTCAACTTCCCACAAAATGCTTTGCTGCAGGATGACACACAATCTAAAGTGCAGTCATGCACAGCAAAAAACGTTGGTAGGGCCTTTTAAAATCCATTCGTATTTCTTGCCTTCTTCTGTTTTTCTTCTCCCAAATTCAGTTTTTTAGTTTTTCCAGGTTTCGGATTTCCCTATTTTTTTCTGGTTTAAGTTTTTTCACACTTTTAGATTTTTAGATTAGATTTTCCGTGTTCACAATAATGCTTAAACCACATCAGGGGATAACTTTTGAGGTCTGGGAAAAATCTAAGAAAGATTTTTGAGCGTCGTTGCCCTTTAATTTAGTGAGCATGCCCTGCACTGTTGTTTGGTTAGCGGGTTTTCTGTTGTGCAGTAAGCACACGTGATGTGATTCGGCCACCAATGGAATGGGTGCAGTAAAAGGCCAGCAACACTCTGTATTATTCTGAGCCCCATGAAATGACACCACATTTATGTATCTAGCCTGCATAACACTTTATAGAGTTATTTGTCGATTTTTAATGCTAGCTGTGCAGCCTGTTCCAACCTACCTGGCTGCCCACACAAACAGCGTGCAATGGGCAGCAAGCTAGCTAGATATTTCTAGCTAGTAGTACTGAAGAGACATTATTCAAGTCGAAGTTGAATATTAGTAGTGCTGTGACAAAGGATCTGTTATCCAGCCAGCTCAAAGTTAACTTCAGGACTTCAGTCAGTCTGCTGTCTGCAGGTCATACAAGCCAACATAAAATAGCAATAGCATCAACCCGACCTCTTAGCTGAATGGTTATTGACACCTTTCTACTAGATTGTGGGGGACTTTTATTTTGGAAATTGCAGCAATTTCGTGACCCGGAAGTACTTTCTTAGTGTTGCTGATGAGACGCTGATCATGTGAGGAGTTCGCTAATCAAATGCCCCACTTGTGTTGCCACTGGACAGCGAAAACAAGTAAGTTAACCTTTATTGTAATTTTAAATTAGTTTGTAGTAGTTAAGTGTTGAGTTAGATTACATACTGCAGCTACCTCAATCATTATTTCAAACAATTTCGGTGACTTCACAGCAATTGCTAGCTAGCTGAAATGTTGCTACTTAGAAGGCTCAGCTAAATACAAATCCCCCTAAATACAGCCATGTCTCATAGTCACGCCATGAGACCTGTAAATGAAAGAGGAGTATAATAATACAAATTGAATCGAGTTCCCATTTAGAGTTTCTGGCGCAGCACAGAAATGCCCTTATCCAGATGGTGTGACCAAGGTATTTCATAACAGACCTGCTAACTTTCTTTGTTGTTACTTTTAAGGTTGGAACCAACATGCAGTAACCTCCAGCAGGAAGAGAGGCAAGAACCATTAGTCCGCCAGCTCAGGGACAAGCTACACTATTCACAGCTCTGTGTAATGTTCAATGTAATTGTATTGCTGGACTTTTTGAAACTTTTTTGAAACTATTTGTATTGTTTTAAAAATGTACAAATAACAGGAAATGTATGGTTTGAACATGTCTTTAATGTTTATTTGTTTTAGCTGTTAGTGATAATTTTGTGTTTACATCATTAAGCCTTTATGTATGTGTTATGAATGCCCAAAGGTGTCTGACTTTATAGTAAGTACATCGTCATGATACAAGGGATTTATGTATGTGTTATAAATAATTAAAGGGGTCTGACTTTAAATTAAGTATAGCGTCATGCGAGATAGAGTCTTTATGGATGTGTTATGAATGATCCTAACCCTAACTAATGAATGCCAAGTTTGATGCGTTGGTCCACTGCCGTTTTCAACCCGTATACGGGATGACATGAGGTGTGAGTGAAAAGGTCTACCATATTTGATATTATCTGGTCTCATGTCTTTTTACAGCATATCCTCCATATTACATTTACATTTTAGGCATTTAGCAGATGCTCTTATCCAGTCAGTAACGACTAACAGTTGGTATCCTGAGTTTCCACAGTTCCTCCAGGGTCATTCCACCTCAAAAAGCACAAGAAAGAGGATTTCGACAACCACCATCTCATTTTGTGCTGAAATCATTTATGTAGTTAGACACATATAAGATAAGCGTTCCTGAAACATTATTTTGTTGAAATCAGGGGTTGGAACTGGTTCAGGGAACAAAGAGGAACAGAATGAGAACCGGGAACGAAAGTGATCTATACTGTTCCGGAACAGAACCGTTATTTTAAAAGCGCATTAGAACCGGTTAATAACAATATTTTACGTTCCAATTCCATTTAATAAAACATAAGAGACCAGCAAAATTGATAAAAAGGTGTGGCAGTAGCAGGAACAGCGGCATCTAGTGGGCAGAACCTGGTACTTTCACACTAATGTATGGTAAATAATGCAAGTGAATTGCTAATTTTTCTGAACAGGGGAAAAAAATATCAACAGATTCACAGGGAATACATTACATATTATGAAGAAGCAATACTCCAAGCCGCAGCTCCATACTACTTGTCACTGATACTGTATA